ACTCACCTTCCTTGAAAATTTTATACCTTTATCTTTATTCCTTCATTTTTCTTAAACATTTATACCTTCATCTCTCTGTAGATGGACTCTTGTACGAGTTCGAAAGCTCAGAACAATAAATCAATTGATCTGGTGCTCGATATGCCTTCTTCCTCGTCCATTACAATTACCTGGATCGCGAACCTTCTCATTCATTCGACCTTCATCTCTATTCCTTCATCTTTCTTAAAAAGTTTATACCTTCACCTTTATTCCTTCATCTTTCTTAAACTTTTCATACCATGTATTCTGGCAAACTAGGTTAAGGGGGTACGTTAGTACAACAACAACAACTGGGGAACTATGAAATCATATAAGGTATCTTCAACCATGTTTTGCTCCGAGTTAACTTGCAACCAGAACCACAACTACAAACTATACTTCGGAACAAATTTTTATTAGATGAAATTAAGTGGTCGTTTTCTTAGATCGGTCAGAGGCAAAGAGTAAATGTCTATGGCCCCAGTAGTGGTAAGTTCAGGCTTAAGCTGATAAATTCTGACGCTTTAGAGAAAACTTGGTGGTTAGGAGGTCTCCGTTTTTATGAGTTATTCAATGAATGCCGTCAGCTTAATAAAAAATATTGTTTACAGAGCACCCTATATTTCACGTGAGGTTTTCAAGTAGACTTCGATGATTATCTGTGAAGCTGCGGTTTCCTGGATCTCAAACAGCAGTTGTCTTTTCAAACATTGATTGGATTAGTACATATGTGCATTCTCCGTTTTTTTAAAGTGGTCAAAAGGTCCAATTAGCATGTGCGGATGAAAAATAGGACAGAAAAAAAACTAACTCGTGTCTCAATTCACGACGCCTGTTAGCGTTTGAGGTCTTTGCAATGTCCATCGCCAGCTTCTCCAGATGACACATAACATTGTCTAAGGTTTCAGTTAGCTTCCGGTTCCCCTCACAGGAGACTTCCTGATTTGAGAGCCCGGAATTCTTCTGTTCCTCCGCATTAACGAGATTTCGTCCTGCAAACTGATCTGATAATCTTAAGGACTGAAATAGTTGCTTTTCAATAGCGTTCAGTCGTCTCTCATAGGATTCAAAGTCGATCTGGATTTCCTGT